CACTACGTCACACAGTGGAGTCTCTCTGATTGGTTGATGCTGGAAATATGTCGCCACGTCACACAGTGGAGTCTCTCTGATTGGTTGATGCGGCGCGTCGAGCTGCAAAAGTTCAGATTTTCTAACTTCAACGATTTGCGCCTCAGCGCGTCGAACGCTCAGATCGTTCAAATCGTTCAAATCGCGCTGCTCTAATCGCGCTTGAGGCGCCGCAGAACTTCCCGACGTTGCTTGAAGCGCGTCCACCATAGACTTTGTATGTAAACCTGCTGCTCCTGATGCTGAAATCGCTTTCGGKGTGAACGCACCATAAGAAACAAACTGTTGAGTTTATTGAACCAAACTGTTTCCACTTAGCCAGGTTGAGTAAAATGAGCAATATCTGTATATTCTTTGCTCAATTTACTCGTCAAGGTTAAGTGGAGCCAGTTGACATGACTTTGTTGAGTAAATTTAACATTTCATTTTTTAGAGTGCATAAACATCTTTCATGATAAGTTTGAACATATTTATTTTGTAACAAGTAAGTGTTAAATCTTAAAGAAGTAAAAAGTATAATTTTTAGCTTTAAAATGTAACAAAATAAAAGTAAAAGCAGCTATTTAAAAATAATTAATAAAATTAAAAATCCTCCGAAAAACAACTTAAGTACTGTAACAAAGAAAATGTACTTAATTACCATAAACCTCTGATTACAGCCTTAGATACTTCATTGTCTTGTAAGAAACAATAGCCTTTAGTATCACTGTGTTAATCTGTTTTTACATTTCACTTTAACAATTCTTATCCTCTGCATATCTCAGCTTACACTCAGAATTTCCTAATATTTAGCTTTTAAGTACTTAAAATTACATATTTTCTGATAATTTCATTGTCATCTGGTGAGTAAAAATAAAGTTTTACAAGTGTTTCATAAATCTTGGKGAAATAATTGTGTATGGACCTTAATTTTAGTAATTAGGTAGAGATGAGGAATTTAGTAATTGGTTTTTATTAATAAGACAATAGAGAGCTGGAAACCTGCGGTCATGAAATTCAGTTTAATGTACTTTATACTTTCTAAATGAGCTAAATCTCACAACTTATTACATTATGTAAACTATTAATACCAGTAAACATTTTCTTTTTCATCTTAAGAGAATTTAAATCTAAAACGTTTAAGATTCATCAATCAAAGCAAACCTTTTATCTTTTGGCTATGTTTTTTTTAAATCATAGAGGAAAGTGTGGTTTGCTGAAAGTGGCTGTTAGCCGCAGCAATCAATACACATGTATTTTGCATTATTAATGTGGTAAAATGGCTTTCTATATAATTTTTTTGTGGTTTTTCCATCCCCAAACTAATGGAAAACTAGAAAAAAAAAACAAGCCCTGTATTTGATTTGGGAAAGATGAGAGCTCAAATATTTTCCATCAAAGGCTGGGATTTTTCCCCCCCTGCCAAACGTCATTTCCTAAAGACAGAAAATATGGAATCCATACAACCTGCTGACAGCAAACTGGCACAATCAACTGCCAGACAGATACTTTAGGACTGCTGCAGTCTGTATTTATTATCCACTCATACTGGAATTTGTTTTCAGATTGATTTGTGATCAGATAAATTAAATGTCCWAGATACTTCCCAACTTAGTGTTCAATTTATGTTAGGAGGTTAGTTTATTATTATTTTTTATTTTTAATAAGTTTTGAAGTTCTGATTGTCTAAAAAAGCCAAATAAGTCAAATATCTCATTGTATTTTCTCACTCAATTAACCAAAACAGTGAAATGAAGTCCTGAAACTTTTTGTTGTGTTGATC